CTCTCATGTACTCAATGAGAGGTACATCAGCCAACTCATATGTACTCAATGAGACATCAATCAACCACCTACCATGTACACAATGAGAGGTACATCAATCACCTCACATGTACTCAATGAGAGGTACATCAACCACCTCACATGTACTCAATGAGAGATACATCAACCGCCTAACATGTACTCAATGAGAGATACATCAACCGCCTAACATGTACTCAATGAGAGGTACATCAACCACCTCACATGTACTCAATGAGAGATCATCAACCGCCTAACATGCACTCAATGAGAGGTACATCAACCACCTAACATGTACTCAATGAGAGGTACATCAACCACCTCACATATATTTTATGAGACATCAGTCAACCAATTAACATGTTCGCAATGAGAGGTACATCAACCATATCACATGTACGCTACGAGAGGTACATCAACCACCTCATATGTACTCAATGAGAGATACATCAACCACCTAACATTTACTCAATGAGGGGTACATAAACCAATCCACATGCACAATGAGAGGTACATAAACCACGTCACATGTACTCAATGAGAGATACATCAACCGCCTCACATGTACTCAATGAGAGGTACATCAACCGCCTCACATATACACAATGAGAGGTACATCAACCACCTAACATGTACTCAATGAGAGATCAACGATAACCTCACATTTAATGAATGAGACACGAACCAACCACCTCATATTATACTCAATGAGCCATGAGCCACCAATTAACCAACTCATAAATACTCAATGAGACATCAACCAACCACCTCACATATAATCAATAAGGGAATCAACTTAATATATTAAAAATACTCAACGAGAGATCAATCAACCACCTCACATATACTCAATGAGACATAAACCAACCACCTTACATAATAAATGAGATATCAACCAACCAACCAACCCACATATTCTCAATGAGACATCAACCAACCAACTCACATATACTCAATGAGACATCAACCAACCAACTCACAAATATCAAATGAGACATCAACCAACCATCTCACATATAATCAATGAGACATCAACCAACTCACAAATACTCAATGAGACATCAACCAACCAACTCACAAATAATCAATTTAATACATTAAAAATACTCAACGAGAGATCAATGAAACCACCTCAGATATACTCAATGAGACATAAACCATCTATCTATAAACTGACTGAGTAATTATACAAAATTTCATTTATACTCCATAAGAACACAATCAATCGTATAACATTGCGACATTATAAACTCAATCAATAATTTGAGTAATCTTCTGCTTATACTAGTCAGGAATATATATGTTAAGTGCATCACCTGAATGCATCAAAAGTAAAAAGCAATAATAAAGAAAATTCTGCCAATATCTAACTACGCAGTGTAATAATGATGGAATGTAGTATAAAAATATTCAGTATTGGTTTAACTATCTATCAAGTCATATATTATTTCAGTATTACTTTTATCTAAATTATTTCAAATAGCACCTGCCACAAATGATTTTCACACGCAATGTCAGGACTATAGATCATTACAGTTAATTGGTGCAATATAGTCTGATTGTAACTTAACTGGAAAGAAAAACGATAACTAAACATCGGTCAAATAATTTGAAATGAAACCAATGTTTACATGTTATCTGAAGCCATTCACACTTTTCTATTGTCATACTGGTTGTCGGTATATTTTAACTTGTCCCTCGAGAGAAATGATGGAAACGAAGGAATTAAATAAAGATCAGGTCAAATGCGTTTGATTTATTTCAAATCTGACATTGGACTAGATACAAACAGTATGTGTTGGTTAAAAATGAAAGAGGAATTGATACATCAAGCTAATGAATGTAACGGTATTGTAGGGTAACAAGTTATATTGTGTTATCATTGAACAAC